ACAAAATAATGCTATATATTTATTTACCAAGTATTTTATTTATACCATGAAAAAATAAAAAAAAATATAATTAATAAAGCCAATCAGATTAACTACTTGAGGGATTTGTTGACAAAGAGAGTATTCAAATCACACAACAAATTAAAGTGACAACTACCTCGCAATGTCCTTGTTTGACAATCAGCAGTTAGCGGATTATATTAGTGAATTTGACCAACGAATTATATCAACGGTTGCTAAAAAGATATTTTAAAAAATTAGCTGTTTAGATTAACATGTAAAATGACATAATAATAATAATAATAATAATAATAATAATAATAATAATAATAATAATAATAATAATAATAATAATAATAATAATAATAATAATAATAATAATAATAATAATAACAATAACAATAATAATAATAATAATAATAATAGTTTTAAAAAAATTAAAAAAATATATATAATTATGCCAATCATATTAACTACTTGGGGGATTTATTGACAAAAAGAGTATTCAAATCACACAATAAATTGAAGTGGAAAACTATCTCACAATTTCCTTGTTTGGCAATTAGCAGTTAGCTCTTCAATATTAGTATATATTTAATATTTTATGACCTAATTTTTATTTGCTCTCCCTTATGTCCCGTATTTGGTTTTAACCATACCTATACAATTATTTTATTGACATTATAATCAATCTCGACTATATTATATTGCATTTGTAAACTTAAAATTGTCTATTTAAATACGCAAATTTAACATTCAATTATCTATGCATGAATAATTCTAATATAATCTTGCCTTGATATACTTTAAAGTACTTATTAAAAAAAAAAAACATTGGACATTATTCCAATTGCGCAATGCGCGTAAAAAACTAGTATTACTTATAAAGAAAATAGTAATACTTATAAGGGAAAAGTGTCAAATTGGCCCCCTAAGTCGACCGGATAGTGCAATTGGGTCCCCTAACTAAAAATAATTTATTTATTTATTAAAATATATATTATATATAAAAAATAAAATTTAAAAAAAAAAAACAAACAAAAAAAAACAAAGCTGTTTTTTTTTTTGAAAACGCACAAAGCTGTTTAGGTGGCTGTGTTTTTTTATTTATTTTATTTTATTTTATTTTTTATATATAATATATATTTTAATTAATAAATAAATCATTTTTTAAAACAAAAAAAAATATATTTTTTAAAATGACACGTGTCAACAATGTGAAGATTAACTTGTTAAACAAGTCATCTTGGACTTAATTAAATAATTTTACAGGTTTAGGGGATCTGAATAGTGTTTTTTTTTTAGTTAGGTGGCCCAATTACACTATCCGGTCGACTTAGGGAGACAATTTGACACGTTTCCCTGCTTATAATGAACTTGGCCCGTTTCAGGAATGAGAACCCTTGACTCGTAAGACTATGTCATAGAAGATTTTGCCAAAGTGATTTAATTGTACGTGAAGTTTGAGAATTGAGGGTGAAAAAAAAAATCCAGTATTCATATATCATGTTTGATGCAATTTACCATTACAAAAATAAATAAAAAAGGAATATATGGCTAAGTTCATTTTAACAGAGAGTCTTTGATGGATGATAATAGCGTCAAAACTAATCATTTATCGTATCAAGAAAAGCATTTAGGTAGAAAAAGGGAGAGTACAGCACGTACTGCAGCATCTTAACTTTTTTATTATTCATATGACTACCTAAACAATACAAGCGTACGTACCTTAGCGTGTTAATGATGGATGTCGTAATTTGTTTTATACACACTTTTATCCTTTTCATAGTACGCAGTTAAGCTCCTCCAATTTTCATCATTAGAGATTCTTGCAATTTTGAGGGATAAGCTACACAGTTGATCACATTCTGGATATGTTCGGAATTGAGCTTTTCCAAATTGTTCTTGAACTGGTCATCAAAAGATTCATCGTGACCATCAAGCTTTTATCACTTTTTTTTTTTTTTTTTTTTTTTTTTTTTTTTTTTTGGAGTGGTAAGGAAAATCCCCAATCATTATGGTGGGTAAATTCCATCTTGTGACCCTAGCTGACAAATGATCCAATGAGATGAATCAGTTTTGATCAACTCAAATTGAAAAAACCAATAAGGCTTATCCAGTTGAGATCAAAGACAAATAACTAATTATAATCTTTTGATTACCAAGTCAACAATCTAACTAATTTAGTTACCGTTATCCCAGCTTTATCACTTTTTCTACCCAATTGTTGGTCTATCCATTTTCTTGCCTAACTTGTGCTGGTATCTGTTATTGAGATAGTGTCAAGTAGTATTCAGAATTCATTGTTGAAGCATACCACTCTGGTGCAGTTGAGTTCCAACTAATCAAACACGAGGAGAGGATTTTGCCAAATTGCACCGAAACTCGACCAACCTCCCTGCATGCCAATACATGGCATGTGTGCACCAACCACGACATGTGAGAGGTCTAACCGTCTAACTGCATATTGGACCCGGTTCAGTTTCCAAGGGGCCTGAACCTGCGGTTCAGTTTTGGACTCAAAGTAAAACTTAAATATTATGGAGTACATTTTTATTTTAAATTATTACTAAATTTTTTCCTCAAAAGTATTAAATTTTTTTATAAGTAATAAATAATTTATTTTTGATTAATATTACATTTTTTCAATATAAATGTTACATTTTTCATAACGACCCGACCCGTCTCACAGGAAACTCACTTAAAAAAAAAATAGAGAAAATGACACTTTCTCCCCCTATGTTATATACTTATAGCACTTTTTCCCCCTAAATTATTTAAGTGGCAGTTTTTCCCCCTGATATATGAAATGGACATATTTACCCTTAAAATAAATATTTCATTTATTTTTCTTCTCCAACAAATTATAACCACGATTTGAAAAAATAAAATGCATTAATTGTTGAATTTTTTGAATACTTTAAAAATAAATAAAAAAAATTTAGAATAAAGTTTGAACCAACAGTTCAAATTGGATCCGAAATCATGAACCGACGATTCAAAATAGAAACCAAATCGCGATTATATATACTTATATGTGAGAGTCAATATAAATGCGAAAAAAAAAACATACACTATTTGTAAATATTATAATTCTAATTTTAAGCTATCGCTAGTAGTTGTTCTGATTTGAATCTCCGGTTCACGGTTCAGGAGCCATTTTTTTCAAGTTGATGATTTTAATAAACGGAAACCAAAATATTGGGTTATGTTATGAATTATAACCGAAATTTTTTTATTTGATTGCTATAGTGTTCGGTTCAATTCGAACCTTGAACCGAACCGTGGTTATCCCTACATATAAGCAATAATTTGTTGAAGAAGATAAATAAATAAAATATTTATTTTAAGGGTAGAAATGTTCATTTAATATTATAAAGGGAGAAAACTGCCACTTTTATAATAATTGAGGGGGCAAATGTGGATGCATGAATAACTCAGGGGAAAAAAGTGCTATAAGCATATAACACAAGGGAAAAAGTGCCATTTTTCCAAAAAATTAATTAAAAATAAAAACAATGTAATTGCAAAATAATCACGTAAAAAATAATGAGTGTGACAAATTATTGTGTGAACCATGGTTCACACAGTGCTATGTGGATCATAACAAAAACTACATTTTTAATTTTTAATATATACTAAAAATACATTATTTGTGTACTGAATTTATTATATACAAAATAATATACTTTTAATAGTCAAATAATGTACTTTTCTTAAATATAATGTACATTTTAAATTTTTAATATATTAAAAATACATCATTTGTATATCGAATGTATATTATTTGATAGTATGGTCCACACAATAATGATGGATGAGGGGGAGGGACAAGAAAAGTAAAAAAATAAATAAATAATTGAATATTGGTTACGTTACTGTTAATGAAATTACATAGGGTCAAGTTTTTAAAACAGTTAAGATTTTCCCGTCAAGGAGAGTGTAGGCTAACTGCCCTTTTGACTGTGACCCACCGCTGAGAGACAAAAGCACTAATAAGAGCAATCAGTGGATAATTGCTTTAACATCATTTTCAACATTATGGTCAGACAATGTACACTAAACAGACTACATCAAGCATGGAAGTGTCTTAATTAATTACCGTAATTAAAATCAAGAATACCCCATCCCACCCCACCCCACCAAACCTCTTCCCAGAAACTAACAACAATACCCACATGTCTTCTTAATCTGGAGAAGATTGCTTCTTAGCTAGTCGGCAAAAAATCTGCCCCATTCCCCTTCACTATAGATCTAGACATCTCTCTTTTAAGGCCCACCATATGGGGTCCTAGACTTGACTCTACTTTTTTTCATTAACTCACACCTGTCTTCCCCCACTGTGCAAAAAAACTAATTAAACTCGTTTTCATTTCCAGGAAAATTCTTCTGCACGAGGGAAAACCGTGTTGAACAGTTTGAAGTAGTTGGAATACCCGGTTTAGGGTAATGAAACTGAAATTGTGGTGTGTTCTCTCTCAGATAAGGATTTGACATGTTTCACACACAAGTTATCTCTAAGGGCGGGCGGAGAATATCACACACAGTAATGCGTTTCTTTTTCTTAGAAAGAGAGCAGAATACATACCCTGTGGAGATAGATCATACCATATGTATGTATGGCGGGAATCTGTATCACTCACATATATATGGTCCTGCTTTCCCTGCATAATCAAACGCCTGCATACATACGCTATACTATACTATACTATACTGTATTGTACTATAATAATAATAATAATAATAATAATAATAATAATAACGAGTTAATACTAACTGGGCCCTTCGAGTATAGTGGCACTGCATAATCAAACACTTGCATACATACATACGCTATACTAAACTATATGTATTGTACTGTCCAAGTAGTTTGTAGCTTAATGACACCTATGTGATTCTTCCAAATCGGAGACCACAGGTTTCAATAAGTTGAGAACGTATATCTGGACAGATACTATACTCAGAGGTCCCCAACTAGTATTAATTCTATGGAAGGGTTTCTTAATTACCGTTGTTATTCCTCTAAGTCTCAAGGCCTCAGCTATTGGAGAACGTGTCAGCCATAAGAAACAGCTAGCCAATCCAGTCCTGCTTTTACCTGTCGAGCAAAATCTACAATTTTGAAATGAAATCACCAATCTATACGACCTCCCTCAACCCAGACCTGAACACATGGGACGATATATCATTCTTACCTCCACAACATCTAAGGATGATATGATGAAGCTTCCACCATTATCACCAACTCCCCTCCATTTCCTTCAATTCCCTCCTTCTCTGCTTCTACCTGTCTCAAAGCTTGTCTTGTCTTTGCAGCTGCACTACAAAGAGGTTAGTGTCTGTCTGCTACTTTGAGTGCCACAACAACTTAGCCTTTTCTCGAATCAAAAAGTTTTTCTTTTTAATTTATTATTATTTCTTCATTTGCTTGTTGAACAGAAATCAGGAAAAAATAAATATTCCCTTTCCATGCCTTGTATCTCCCTACTCTTTCAAAACATTCACATGAAAGTTAAAAAGGTATAAGAGGCTTTACCTGTGTGTCACATGCTATTAGCTTTCCCCTATATAAAGAGCTCGCAAAAGAGAGTTGATCATCAAAAGAGCTTTAGCAGACAGACTTCTCCTTGAGCTCTCCAAGGATTCAGACCTGCAAAAGCAATATGTTGTTTTCCTATGCTAGAAATTGCTTAAAGCGGTTCTGTGTTGACGAGTTACAACCGAAAACAGAAACCAATTATGGTTTCTTCTCCAGTGATCTCCTCCCTTCTCTTGGAGCCAGAATCAACCAAACTACAAAACTTAGAAAATGCATAAATTCACCATTTGATCCCCGGTACAGGTGAGAAGATGACCTTTGACTATTTCCCCGGCCTTGTAGGCATGGACAACGTACAGCTGATTCTCTCTTTCTCTCATTCTTTCAGGGCTTGGGAGATGTTTCTAGTCATTCTGGTCATTTACTCTGCCTGGATTTCTCCCTTTGAGTTTGCATTCCTCACGTACAAGGAAGATGCGCTGTTCATCATTGACAACATTGTCAACTGCTTCTTTGCAATAGACATCTTTCTAACATTCTTCGTGGCATACCTCGATAGTCAATCATACCTGCTTGTAGATAATCCTAGGAAAATAGCAATAAGGTAAGCTTGCAGCAGTTATTTTCTTCTCCAACTTACTATATGAATCACGAGAGCTCTTTTGTTTCTTATATCATTCATTCATCACACCCATGTTCTTCTAAATGGCTGGCAGGTATTTATCAACATGGTTCATGTTTGATGTGGCCTCAACTGTGCCATTCCAAGCTCTCAGCCTCCTTTTCACAGATCACAAAACAAGTGGCGGACTAGGCTTCAAATTGCTGAGCATGCTCAGGCTTTGGCGCCTGAGGCGTGTAAGCGCCCTGTTTGCAAGGTCCATGAACATATTTCAAACCTGTTTTTGGTGTCTCTACCCTAATTATCCAAATTCTCACTACCCGGTTTGCTTTCCTTCAGACTTGAGAAGGACATCCGGTTTAACTACTTCTGGACACGCTGCACAAAACTCATATCTGTAAGTCATCAGTACGCGATCTAAAGAGTGAATACGTACAAGAGTTGATATATGCATGAATTGCCTTTTTGTCAAAATGCAGGTAACTTTGTTTGCAGTACATTGTGCTGGATGCTTTAACTACATGATTGCAGATAGATATCCTGATCCTAAAAATACCTGGATTGGAGCAGCATATCCAAATTTCAAGGAGGCAAGCCTTTGGGTGAGATATGTAACTTCAATGTATTGGTCTATAGTCACACTGACCACAACCGGTTATGGGGACCTGCATGCCGAGAACACAAGAGAGATGCTCTTTGATATCTTTTACATGTTGTTCAACTTAGGATTGACATCTTACATCATTGGGAATATGACAAACCTTGTTGTTCACTGGACCAGCCGCACCAGAAATTTCGTAAGTTCTCTCTCCTTATGTGTGTGTATATTGACATCATATAATAAAAATTTAGGGAAAATCAGCAATCTTTAAGCCACCTTCTACTGAAAAGAAAAAAGTATGATTACATTACATGCATTTAAAGTAGAATAGGAGATCAAGTTCAACACAGGAAATCATATTAAGAAAATGCATGAAACTGCAAAGAATGAATGAAACAAAAAGAATATTATATATATCAATATATGGCACATTGCACACATGTGCTAAACTATGACATCTTTAAAACGTTTTGTTTGTGTAGAGGGATTCAGTCAAGGCTGCTTCAGAATTTTCAAAACGCAACCAGTTACCGCCACGGATACAGGATCAAGTTTTATCTCATATCTGTCTCAAGTTCAAAACTGAAGCATTGAAACAGCAAGAAACTTTGAATGCCTTGCCAAAGGCTATTCGATCAAGCATCTCACACCACCTGTTTTTCCCTATAGTTCAGAATGTTCATCTTTTCCGGGGGGTTTCACATGATTTCCTTTTCCAACTGGTACTTCATTTTTCCCTCCCCAACTCCGATTTCTGTGTTGCTATGACATAAAAATCACAAGGATTTCATTGTTTCACTTTTTTTTTTCCTAAATGAAGGTTCCCGAATTGGAAGCAGAGTATTTTCCTCCTAAGGAAGAAGTTATTTTACAAAATGAGGCTCCAACAGATATGTACATAATGGTCTCAGGGGCAGTGGTAAGTTGGTTAATAGATTCGATATGTTATTTGAAACTAAAACTATTTTACTCTATTCTTAACAAGGAAACTATTTATGGTGACAGGAATTGATACTAAGTGTTGATGGCCATGAGCAAGTAAGTAATTTGTATATGAGAATATTTTATTTTAATATATTTCTATAACTATCAGCTAACTCTTTATTGCTACAAATATGGCAGGTCTTTGGAAGGGCAGCTTCAGGAGAACTATTTGGAGAAATAGGGGTTTTATTTGGAAGGCTGCAGCCATTTGCTGTACGAACCGTTGAGGTTTCCCAAATATTGAGGGTGAGCAGAGCAACTTTGATGAACATTCTTCATGCAAATCCAGAAGATGAACGCATTATTATGAACAATCTGTTACAGGTGAATATACGAGAATTTATATGTATGTATTATTTTGAAGAGTCTTTTCCCTCCTTCCTATATGTGTTTTGTTATACCTTGACTATTCTGCCGAATGAAACTCATGATAGGCTATTTTTGTCATAAAATAGAAACTGCAAACATTAGGAAACATTGGCTCTGAGGACCACGAAAAAGAACCACACTTAGTCTTCAACAATTCTGTTGGTGGTGAATCGCAAGGGGAGAGATATTATGCACAAGATAATATGCAGAGATGCAGGTGTGAAACGGACACAAGTTTACCAGATGCAGATGGCACAATGGCTCTTCATGTAGCTGTTTGCAAGGGGAACCTTGAGGTGGCTAAGGGTCTGCTGGAAAAAGGAGCAAATGTAACTAGACCTGATGCAACAGGGTGGACGGCAAAGGCTCTAGCAGAACATAATGGAGACAAAAACATGTATGACCTGTTACGAAGTTTTGAAGACCGAAACAAATTAGAAGAGCATAAGATCAGGTTTCATGGTCCAGAAACTAGTAGTAGTCAACTAAAGCCTACAAGATACAGGTCCCCCTTTTGTTCTTACTCCACCCACAGAAGACCCACTTGTACAAGTTCAGGTAGTAGCAGCTGTCCCATGAATGCACAAGTGTCAAAATCCAAGAAGAGAGTCACTATTCATATCAAGTTAAATAGCAACAAATCATCACATCAGCAGTTTGGGAAGCTAATAAATCTACCTGGTTCTATGGAAGAGCTTTTCGCAGTAGCAAGTAAGCCTTTATTTGATCTCCATATAAAGCACAAAGTAACCTGGATATTTAATGGATTAAGTATCAAATATTATTGACAATCAGGAAATGGAAATAAAAATTAATGTATAATAATAGTAAATGATTCTGCCACTTGTGTGTTCCTTAGTAGATCAGTTTATCACCCTGAACTTATTTTGCAGGTCAGAAGTTTGGAATCCAGATTCTTACAAAAGTTCTAAATTCAGAGAATGCAGAAATAGATGACTTTAGTGTGATCAGAGATGGTGATCATTTAAATTTTCTTTCAGAATAGCACTCCAGTTTATAATAAAATGATATGTAACCCCAAAATTGAGTAATAGAAGGCTAAATTGTAGAGTGCACAGAGGGAGAGAGCATTATCATTCACAAGCAATTGTAAATTTCTTTAAATTCCTAAGGAAGAAATCACGTTGGAATCTAAGGTATCAATCCTTTCCCAACAATCACAGAGGGCAAGCTCTGTCCAATCGTTTCAATGACAAATATGAAGTATATCACCCTATGGATCAACTTTTATATTCATTTTCTTCATTGCATGATACTCAATTAGTCAAGAAGGATCTATGATAATTCTGACAATCAGCCAATCAGGAGAGGTGGAAGGCAAAGTTGAGTTCTCTTTCGTCTCTGCAATATCCAGTTACGAATCACGTGGAACAAAACCATAAAGAAGCGTAAAAAGACGTAAATTGTAACAGAAAAAAAGCTAAAATTCAATTCAAAGAGCAGAGACGAAACAGGAAGATAGAAATGCAGGCACGAGATCGGCGATCAAGAGCTGACCTCGGATATTGACCGGCGGCATTGACGTGATCACCGTCGTTCACGGAATACGTACGGTAAAGCCGTAAAGGTTTCGACATCTCCGGCCAGATCGAATCAACGACTCAACAAGGTGCAGTTACGTTACTCCGAGTAATTGCGCTGTGAGAATAAGAACATTTTGGCTCGCGGCCGTTGCGGGGAGTTAAAGGCTCGCCTCGCAGCTGCCAGTAACGTTGCTTTGATTCGTCGTCGTGGAAATATAGTGTACTTCGACGGTTGGATGAACAACTATAGTTTGCCACTGCTTATTATTCTTCTCCCATACACGTGCTATAGAAAAAATGTGTATAATGCACAAAAATAGAACCAACGAAATTATATCATTAAAAGAAATATAAAACCACGTAAATCTTATAATTATTAAGTCTAGGCGTGTCATAGACCATGAAAGGAAAATTAACAAATTTAGAGAAAGGGAAAAATACGAAGAAGAAGATGTATGCATATGATATGTATACTAAAATAAGTCCACACGCCCAACTCAAAGAAGAAGATATCTCATACGAAGAAACGAGAAGCAAACGAAATTTCATGAAGTCATCTTGAAGATCAAGCATCTATGGAAAGAAAGAAGTATATCAAGAAGAATGCTACAAAGACCAATAATCCGTACAAGCGAGATGGATGAAAGCTTCATGTATAAACGTAACCGCTACAATTTTATAAGGCAAATTTAGAAGAGATGAAGTTGGAGCAGATGTTTCAAAAGAACTTTCGAAATCAATTAAATATTAGAACTTGGAGACAAGGTTAGAAATTCGGTTGGAGATGAAGTTTCAAAAGAGGTTTCGAAACAAGTTGAAGCAGAGGTTTCGAAATCAATTAAATAATAGAAGTTGGAGATGAAGTTAGAGATGCAGTTTGCAAGTCAAAGTTAAAAGAGATGAAGTTTCATCAAACTATATATAGTAAGAGCTGGAGTTAGAGATGAAGTTTCAAAGGCTATATATATAGTAAGAGCTGAAGTAAGAGATGGAGTTTCAAAGGCTATATATAGTAAGAGCTGAAGTTAGAGATGAAGTCTCAAAAGCTATATATAGTAAGAGCTGAAGTTGGAGAAGAAGTTTTAATCAAGTATTGAATTCTCGCCATCAATATGAGACCCAAATCAAGAGATCTCATTGGTCGAAAACAAACAACTTCATCAGTAGCCATACAGAGAGATTGGTAAGAGCTGAAGTTAGAGATGAAGTCTCAAAAGCTATATATAGTAAGAGCTGAAGTTGGAGAAGAAGTTTCAATCAAGGATTGAATTCTCACCATCAATATGAGACCCAGATCAAGAGATCTCATTGGTCGAAAACAAACAACTTCATCAGTTGCCATACAGAGAGATTAAAATACACAGAAGATGAAAGTCCCAGAAGGCATGATCTACATCAGAATTATTTTAAGGAGCACCTTCACGTGAAGACACGATCTGCATCAGAAATATTTTAAGAATCTCTTCACATGGACCAAGAGCTAAGCAACGGCCGAAATATCTCCAAAGTCCGAGATATTATTTTTAATATGATCTTCTGAGAAAGCTACAGATTTTCTGCAAAGGCTACAAGAATTCAAATTTGAGATTGTCTTTTTCCAACGGACAAATTCTCAAAACCAGCTATAAAAGGATGAAGAATGAAGCAGATCAAAGCATTTCGACACTTCCAACAGAGCTCTGAACGTAAGAAAAGCATACGAAATACAAGTGAGAAATATAAAGAGCCAACAAGCTAGATACGAAATATATATCCAAGTGAGAAAAACACTCAGAGAGCTCAAAGAGAAAATATTCAAGAGTGTTTTAATTCTTCATCATTGAGAGACTTGTTGCATATTGAAGATCCATTCAAGAAGTCTCAAAGTTGGAAGCCATTGAAACTTGTTTTTCTACAAACAAGTGATACAGCAGTGTCGGAGATACTGGGCGTGATTAGTGCGGGCTTTGTGATCAAAGCACTAGATCACGGGATACGTCGAAGACGGGGGGAAAGTAGCACGGAGTTGTGAAATCCTGGATTGTCACACGGAGCTATGAGATCCGAAGCAGCAGTGTCGGAGGCACTGGGCGTGATTGGTGTGGGCTTGGTGATCAAAGCACTAGATCACGGGAAACGTCGACCGGATCGTGGAAGACGGGGGGAAAGTAGCACGGAGCTGTGAAATCCTGGAAAGTAGCATGGAGTTGTGAAATTCGAAGCAGCAGTGTTGGAGGCACTGGGCGTGATTAGTGTGGGCTTAGTGATCAAAGCACTAGATCACAGAAATTCATTGTATCTAGGAACCAAGAAGTGGTGGATATAGTGAATTGATCTTGGACGATAAGAGCAAGTGGAGTAAGGGGATTACATCACCTCCGAACCACTATAAATTGCCTTGTGTCATTTAGTGCTTTATTTACTTACTGCTTATCACGTGGATATACTTGACACAATCACACAACTCGTATTTACTTATTCCGCTACGTACAAGACTCTAACAATCTAGTTAAGAGTCTTGATATCTCTATCGCCTCAACAATTGTTGTATTCGCGAAAACGGTTCAAAAGACTATTCACCCCCCCCCCCCTCTAGACTTTTACCACATCCCCTTTGGGACCAACAATTGGTATTAGAGCCTGTAGTCTATTTGAGTCAGTTTATTTTTTACTGATACCAACAATTGGTATCAGAGCAGTCTGTCTATTTGGGTTAATTTGTTTCCAAGCAGGTTGCCTATTTGGGTCAACCTTGTTTCTGACTGCTAGGCAGATCCATTTTACCGTGTGTGATTGGATTGTATTATTCTTTTCTTACGAGAAAATGAATAAGGATTTAGCACAAAATTTATTATTCTCACTTAATAAATTTGATGATTGGAAAGTTCGTATGCAGGTCCATTTATCGGCCTTACACGATGAAATGTGGGAAGTCATTTCTAATGGACCGATAGAAATATTTAAAGTCAACACAGCATTTCTTCTATCATCCGATGCTCAACAATATGTACCAAAGCCGAAACCGGAATGTTCATTAGACGATAGAAAGAGAAATAATCTTGACAACATTGCCAAAGATATTCTATTCAAAAACGTTGATGATACAATATTCCCAAATATTTGAAAATGCACAACCGCGAAAGAAATTTGGGATACTCTCATCAAGATCGGTGAAGGCGATGAACAAGAGAAGGATAACAAGCTCACGATAGCCATGAAGAAGTCTGAAGATTTCAAAATGCCATCAAGTGAAAGCATTGTTGATATGGAAGCAAGAATGATTAAAATTCTTGGAGAGATTAATGATCTTGGCAAAGAAATTAGCTAAAAAGAAATTAATCTCAAAATCTTACGAGGCTTGCCATCCGCATGGGATATGAAGGTGACGGCTATGCGAGATCACCGAGATCTAAGAACGTTGTCAACTGACAAATTGTTTAGTGATCTTAAGGCATATGAGTTCGAAATGAAGGCAAAAAATAATGAAGATTACAAAGTTCGAAATCTAGCTTTATTGGCCGAGCAACCGTCAACCTCCAGGTCAGTAGATAATATTGATTTTATGACTGATGAACAGTTTGCTCTTTTTGTTAAAAAGTTCAGGAAATTCATGCGAAAAGAAGACAACAAATATTCATCACGAAGAAATCAAAATTTCTCTCGTGGAAACCAAAATGCCGTGTGACACCCGGTATTTTCCTAAAAATAAATTATAGTCCCGATAATAAATATTTTTAATAAAAATATTTATATAGCTATTATTTTGAAATGGGCTTAGGTCTATGAAGTATGGTGAACCAATCTTTTTGTGCCTAAATGTTTTAAGTCCAAAAATGATTTATAGCCTAAGAGTTTATTTGGTATCCTAAGCCCAAAAGTATAATTATTTTCTTATGGAGTCTTGAACCAAGATGAACCCAAGAACTTAACTCTAGCCCAACCCAATCCCTATTTGGAAACCTAGCCTTCTATATCTAGAATATTACGTATGTAATATATATCTAACTAAGATATGTGCAGCCTCCTTCATTTTCATCATCTGTCGTCCCCCTCTCCAACGTTTTCCGGCGGCGAGACAACAACATAAGCCACCGCCTTCCTCCTTACCTCCCTTTCACCATCTCCATAGCCTTCTTCTTCGACCAAGCTACGTGAACCCCCCCATCCCCGCCTTTTCCTTTCCTCTCGGTTCCAAGAGTAGTCAAGCTGGACTGCGTAGCCCTATGGCTGGGGCAGTGGTGGCCGACGCGGGAGGCTACGGCATCATCGTGGAGCAAACGGCGGAGTGGTGTTTTCCTTCTCGGCAGGTTCGACGGAGCTCTGTGTTGGTTGCTGCCTCTCCTCCGGCGTAGGCAGAGCATCTATGGTGGTATCGGTTTTTCTCAGTCGGGGAGGCTCTATCGACGGCGAAAGTTCGGAGCTTTTCGGCAGAGGCGGACTGCAGCAAGGGTGGCGTCTCCTCCTTTTTTCGGCGAGTTTTGGGTCCCCGTGAGGCAGAGCATGCACGGGTAGTAGCACGAGCAGAGGGTGTCTCGATGTTCTACCCGCGGGTTCGTCTGCTTGAAGAAGAAGAAGATGGCAGTTGGTGAGCTTCTTCATTGTTTTGCTGATTAGTTTAGGTTAAGTAGTTTGTTATCCTTTAGATTTACTAAGTGGGTGTTTAACTTGGTTGGTTAGAGTGTGTTTAGTGTGAGGGTTGGCTTGGGTTC